GGGGAGGGGTGTCTACCCCTTGTTTCACCCCTCCTGCCTGTGGGGCTCTCTCGCCGCCACTGCCCCTGTGATCCTGGCCCAGCCCAGGTTCTGCTGGTGGTGCCGGGGGCAGGGGTCAGACCTGGATTTAGGGTCGCAGCAAAGAAAGGCTGGGAGCCACTGTCCTAGACATGGATTAGCTTGCGCAGTTTTAATGAAAAGAGAAATTGTGCAGTGGATGTTACTGTTATGTCTATTTCTGTTACTGTTAATCTTATTTCAATAAAAAACAGCAGATTTTCCACTCCATACCCACACTTCCATCAAGTCAATGCCTCTCAAGACAAGGTAACCACTGAAGAACATTTTGAATCTGATAAGTGAACCTAAAGGTCATTTCTTGCAGGGAGGCAGAGCCCCAGACTTCAACCTGAATTTTAAAGAGATGCCATTACTTAAAATACGATTATTATTCACTGTCTAACACTGCATGTATAAAATGCAGTTCTTTTCAATACTGAAATCACAAGAGTATATAAAGGTCATTCATTTGAATCTTAGTGCCCGATCAAATAAACTGGTTAGTCTGTTTAAATGAAGAGATGCATGAAAAATTTATGAAGGATTAGTATCAAGATATAATTTAAAAACATCCTTCCACTTGTACTTTTATTAATCACTTTTAGGAATTAAAAAACAATTAAAATGCTTAAAATTCACACACAGTCTCAACAGCCTTGGGATCTTAAAATTGGGACTCGCTTTAACTTCCATAAAATATACTTTTGTTTATACTGCTCCAAATTCACATTCAAGTATGGCTGTCAACATTAAAAGAAAACCTCAAGGAGAGGGGATCAATGCTAGGACTATAGAAGCCCATGTTTAAAATAAAAGGTCATTTATATCTGCCAAGCTCTGTTATAATTATTTTATTCTTGATGAAGATGCAGATATTATACTTGGGGAAACAGAGAGGACAAATGTACTGCTTAGTTTGCACCTTGCACCTCCTTCAGTTGACCACCCATCCCCTTCATTCTTAACTATCAAAATTAACCATGGCTTTAGGAATACGGCCGTCCAGCTTCCAGGAGGTTGGGAGCAACATGCTGCGCAGGCTGCATTCCTGAAGGCTGTGTAAGGTGCAGACTGCAGACCTGGAGGCTGCTCATCACATGGGCATCCCCCCAGGCCCCACACCCCTCCCACCTGCCTCAGCCATGCAGACAGCTTGGCTCCATGCTGCTGCATGCACAGAGTACCTCCCACACCTCGTGGCTATGTGCGCCACCCACCTGCAGTGCAGGTAGCCTGGCTCTTACACTGCACAGGCAGTTCAAGCACCCTAAACCTCCCCTACTGCACTGCCCCAGTCTCATGAGTGGGGGCAGGAAGTATGGCCAGCAGTACAAGGGTGAGCCTGAAGAACTTGGTTGCTGGAGCAGGAGCAATGGCAGGAGTTCGGGAGGGGTGCAGTGAGGGCAGGAGCCCATGGGCTGTGCGCTAACCCTTTAGAGGCCACATGAGGCTCATGGGCTGCCAGTTGGACAGCCCTGCTTTAGAAGATGGTATTAAAAAGAACCACATAGTGCGCCTACCCTGCAGACAATTCCCACAACATTTCAGTTTCCTTATTTACTTAGTTGCTACTTAATGCAGCGCACACAAAGGATGGGCACCAAACATATATGGTGCCAGGACAGCTCGGGTTGGTGCCAGGACAGCTCAA